GAACCATCATGGCTGACATAAAGAAAAAATTGGAGGATTACTCCTCAACCTGGCTGGAGCAGCTGAATTATGTCTTGTGGACGTACAGGACAACTCCAAGGACGGCGACTGGGGAAACACCGTTCGCACTGGCGTACGGATTTCAGGCCAAGGTCCCCACCGAGGTACTCGTGCCCACACACCGGACATTGCACTTTGACCCAGAACAGAACGAAGAAAACCTAAGGGCAGAGTTGCACTTTATCGAGGAGAGAAGGGATCTAGCCGCACGGCGCATGGAAGAATATCACCGGTCGACCGAAAGGTATTTCAATAAGGCGGTGAAAGTCAGAGAGATCCAAGTTGGAGACTTGGTACTGCGGAAGCGGGAGAAGAGTAAGCCGCTCGAGGGCGGTAAGATGGCCAAAAACTGGGAGGGACCGTACAGGGTATACGAGAAGAGATTGGCGGCGGGGACGTTCCTCCTACAAACTATGGAGGGACGTTCCGTTGGCATATGGAATGTGGAGCACCTGAAGAAATTCTACTAGTAGGAACCCCCCCCCCCCCCAAAAAAAAAGGGAAGGGGGAGACAAATAGGAAGTTTCAGTTCATACGATTTAACAACAGGAATCAATGAAAATAAGCAGACTTGGACATTAGCCCAAAAAGTCCAGTGGTTTTTCCCTTTCCGGGTTTCCACGATAAAATCATGGAGTACATCATCGACATAAGAACACTACGAGCCTCCCGAAGGAGATTAACATTCCCCGCCGAGCAGTACCAACCATCCAAACGGTACAACCACCACACCAAAGGCCTCTCAAAAAAAAGCAAGAGAGGCACCAGGGAATCCCCAAAGGGGATAAACCCGTTCCGCATCACAATCGCGGCCGAGCCCAGCTCAGGATCCAAAGGTCCGGGACAAATGGGCAGGTAAGATGCGCGGATGACGGGACGAAGACCGGGGAATCCCCAAAGGGGATAAACCCGTTCCGCTTCACAATCGCGGCCGAGCCGAGCTCAGGATCCAAAGGACCGGGCCAAATGGGCAGGTAAGACGAGCGGACGACGGAACGAAGCCAAAGACCTCTCTCTCAAAAAAAGCAAGAGAGGCACCAGGGAATCCCCAAAGGGGATAAACCCGTTCCGCATCACAATCTCGGTCGAGCCCAGCCCAGGATCCAAAGGACCGGGCCAAATGGGCAGGTAAGACGAGCGGATGACGGGACGAAGACCGGGGAATCCCCAAAGGTGATAAACCCGTTCCGCGTCACAATCGCGGTCGAGTCCAGCTCAGGATCCAAAGGACCGGGCCAAATGGGCAGGTAAGACGAGCGGCCGACGGAACGAAGCCAAAGACCTCTAAAAAAACCAGAGAGGCACCGGGGAATCCCCAAAGGGGATAAACCCGTTCCGCATCACAATCGCAGCCGAGCCCAGCTCAGGATCCACAGGACCGGGCCAAACGGGCATGTAAGACGAACAGATGACATGACGAAGACCGGGGAATCCCTAAAGGGGATAAACCCGTTCTGCGTCACAATCGCAGCCGAGCCCAGCTGAGGATCCAAAGGACCGGGCCAAATGGGCAAGTAAGACGAGCAGATGACGGAACGAAGCCAAAGACCTCTCTAAAACAAAACAAAAAAAAAACAAGAGAGGCACCGGGGAATCCCCAAAGGGGATAAACCCGTTCCGCATCACAATCGCGGCCGAGCCCCGTTCGGAATCCAAAGGACCGGGCCAAATGGGAAGATAAGACGAGCGGACGACGGAATGAAGCCAAAGACCTCCCAAAAAAAAGAGGGAGGCACTAGGGATAAAGTTGAAACACGATCGCAGCAAGCAAGCGACACACTTTATTCATCGGCTCTACCGGCCGGAAAATACACAACATACACGAGTTCAGAGTGAAATCAAGAGTACAAAATAGCTGAAGTTGTCACGCCTCGGGGAGCTATCCTTGAATATAGATATGCCTGCAAGAGCTTTCTATGAACCCAAAGGCGTGAGGCGTGAAGTAAGCCATCTTCAAAACATTAACCACCTCAGGAAGAACGGCCTGCTAGCCAGAAGGTGCGGTCGACAAGCAGAATTTGACAAACTCACTCAGCTACAAGGGGGGCCGTCCTTCGCCTGAGACTTCTCTCCCAAAGCCCCCTCATAAGCCTCAGCAAACGAAGCATTGAAACCAGCAGCCTCAGGATCAAACGAAGTAGGAAGATAACGTTCGAGAGCCGGGAGATTTCCGGCCAGAAGGCCGATCATCCCTTTAGCAAAGGCATCGTCGGCAAGCTCCGCAAGGAACTCCTGGTCGGCGGAGGTCCCCGATACCAGCTCAATGCCGTCCTTCAGCATGTTAGGACTCTTAGCCAGGAACTCCCCAAGGCTCTGGGCAAGACGCTCCTTCACACAGACATTCACGGCATCGATGTAGGCTCGGGACTTCTGGAACTCAATAGACCCAGCTTCCTTGATTTTGGAAACATCAGCCTCAAAAATAGGAACGGCCCCCTCCGCACCAACCTGGCGAAGCCGCACATCGGACTTCTCCACGGCGGCCATTTTGGCATGAAGCAGCTGCAGCTTCTCGGCTTGTTTCTTGTCCGTCTCCTGAAGAGACGCACCCCCCTTAGCAAGCCTAAGAGCAACATTCAAGTCCTGCTGCATCTTGTTCAGACGCTCTTTGGCCTTCCTCACCAGATCATCGGCTTCACAATGCACCTGGGCGGAAGCACGCTCCTGAGTTTCATAGGCAAATCGTGCCTTGCAGAAATAAATAGCAGCCTTGTTGAGAGTGCTAAGGCCGCATTCATGAAGATCCACCGCGCTCTCACGAGCAGCGAAGTCACGGGGGAGTTTTAACCCCAAAGAGCACCAGATGGAAGAGGCCGTCTGACCAAACAGTCTTTTCGACTACGCGCGGGGGGCCAACCCGGAGAACTCAATGATATCAGAAAATGAATCCTCGGAACCGGGCGGAGGAGGGTCGCTCGGTCTTTTGCCCAACGAAGTAACGGGCGGCGGCTCAGGAGGAGAGGCGGCCTCAGTATCCGACCCATCAAGGATCACCACGGCCTTGGAAGATCCTTCCCCATGGCGGGACCTCTTGGGGGCCCGTTCGTCTCCAGCGGGCTCAGCTTTGGGCCTCTTTTGGCCCTGATCCTCACCAACGATCTGCTTTCCCTTGCTAGCATCGGCCTGACCGGAAGAGGGAGTGGCGCGGGGGTGAGGAACCATGGCGGAAGACCTGGGGTAAAGTCCTGCGCAAGGGAAGATGGAAAAGTTAGAACAATGTTTGAATTCACAAAAAAGAGAGTCCAAAACCCGGGCCACAACGAGGAAGTACCTATGTTGACCTTGCCCAAGTTGGTGTCATTCACCAGCAAACGCAGGTTCTGGACCCCCTCACCGGCAATACGTGCGGCCTGTTCCAGCTCGGCCGAATGGAGAACCGGGGGCTCAAACTTAACGGGGAAAGCATTCCACCGGTCGGAGAAGGGGGGAGGGGAGTCAACCCCAGCAAAGAAGAATCTCTCCTCCCAGCCAGTCGGGTTAGAGGGGTTATTGGAAAAGAGAACCCTCCACGAACGGGCCACTATGCTGAGGTAACCTGTCTGGCCGTACGGGGAGAGCCGGAAGAAATGCAAAAACAACTTCACGGACGGTTCAACCCCCACATTGTGGCACCGGATTATGAAACCAGCGAGAATCCGATGGGAATTCAGAACGAGTTGAGCCGGGGCAATACCAAGGCCCCTGAAAAGAGAAATGTGAAAAGGCAACAGCGGGAAAAGGAAGCCCACTGCCACAGAGTCCAGATGGACGATCACATAGCCAGGTAAATGCCGCATAGGATGGAGAAGGAACCGTGCGTCCCAACCCCGTGGTGGGGGAAGCAACTGGGGAATCAAAGTCTTCTCGCTAAGGAGCAGACGTTGGCGCTGACGCCGAACGAGATGAAAGTTAAGGGAGAAACAAGGAGGCTGACGGGCATCCCACGCTTATAGACCGGAAGGTCATCCCCTGAATTACAACCATCATCTGACGAGCTCCTAAAAAGGCCATGGGCAGATTGCCTAGGGACAATGGAAGACATCGCAAGAACGGATAAAAGACTTACAGAGAAGAAATGAAGATCTAGAGAGAGAAAACAATCTGGCAGAGTAACAGAGTGATCCCCCCCTTTTTGGGTAATAGAATATTTATAAGCAAAAGCCACCGCCTGTGCCCAAATGAGGGAGGGACACGTGGCGGACCGTGTTTGGTGTATCCTACGGTTGATGCGACGCTTCGAGATCCACGCCATCAGTGGCACACGCTGAAATCACTTCCCCTACAGGAAGACGTACGTGCCCTTGGCTAAAAAAAAGAAGTTCATAAGAAAGGAGGAAGAGCCGTTCCTCGTTAAAAAAGAGAATAAAAGAGAAGAAATGGGTGAAAGGAGGAAGAGTCGTTCCTCGTTAAAAAAGAAGATAAAAGAGAAGAAATGGGTGAAGGAGGAAGAGCCGTTCCTCGTTAAAAAAGAGGATAAAAGAGAAGAAATGGGTAAAAGGAGGAAGAGCCATTCCTCGTTGAAAAAAGAAGATGAAAGAGAAGAAATGGGTGAAAGGAGGAAGAGTCACTCCTCTAAAAAAAGAGCCATCCCTCGCAAGGAGAAGCAGAGAATGGACAAGGGAGCTATAGGTAAGTAAGCGGACCGCAAGTCAACAAGGGCAAAGGAAGTTTTATTCTTCGACTCTACCGGCCGGAACATACAAGTAAGCAAAAACGGGAGTTAATCAAATCACGCAAGGAAACCATGGGGGGTGGGGGGGGGGGGGGGGGGAGGTCTGTGGTTCTTCCGGCTCGCCAAAGAGAGGCTCGGGAGTAGGGGGTAAGGGATTTCACCCCTCCGAAGGGCCTCGGCGCACCGTTCATCTCGGTCGATCTTCCCCATGACCCACAGGAGCTCAGCCCCCTCCGTGTAGTCTTCCACGTTGAAGGGGGGGGGGGGGGGGGGGGGGGGCAGCCGGCCAGAGGAAGCACACTCCTGAGGGCCTTGACACCTTCAAAGTATCCCTTGACAAAGGCATCATCGGCAAGCTCTCCGAGCCATTCATCACTAAGTGCGGTTTTCTTCAAAAGCTGCACCCCGTGAAGCAAGCAATCCTTCTCCGGCACGGGCTACAGCTCGGCCTCGAAAACTTCCCCAGCAGCTCCCCGACAATACTCATGGGCGGCCTAGAGGAACTGAGTGGTCTTTTTGAATTCCTCCACGTTAAGGACCAGAGTCAGAACATCGCTGGGAGGGGATCCGCCCTCAGGACGCGGGGTAGGATCTGCGACAGGAACAAAGGAAATCCCGTGCTTCTCGGCCAGGGCCACCTTGGAAAGCAGGCTCTGTTTTTCCTGCTGGCTCTGAGTCCGAACGGCCTGGAGCTCCTGTTGGGCCAGGGCCAGGGCAGCCTGAGCCTTCTTCATCTCCGCCTGAGCAGCCTCCCGCATCAGCATGACTTCCTGCTCTTTCTTTAAAGCTGCATCGGCTTTTCTCTTGAGCTCGGAAAGATCCTTCTCCCGAGCGGCCCTCGCCCGCAACAAGCTTAGCCCAGCCTACAAGGAAGAAAAATGGGTTAGGTGGGGACGAAAGGCAGATCAAGTGATGGGGGGAAAGGTGAGGAACGTACCTCGAGGTTCAAAAGCAGAGCATTATCAACAGAATCGTCTGAAGAACAATTCGATAACTCCAGCCCGGCCTGAAGGGCCATGTCCTTCCAGATCTCGGAAATCGGACGGACGACGGAGGGCACCACGACATTCGTAGGTTTGGGGACAGAGGGCTCAAGACACGGCCTCTTCGGTTTCTTGCCCTTGTCTTTTTCCCCACCAGTGGGGATACCAACACCGAGCGGATCCACATTCAGGACCCAGTTATCTTCAGAGTGCTGGGCTGCAGAGTTCTGCCCAGTCACTTCAGCAATCAGGAGCTGTTCCGCGTCAGCAACACGCTTACTTGCCTGGGACGCGGCGGAAGAATTGGCCTCAGAGGTCTGAGTGGCCCCATGGGCTCTCGCCAGCGCCGCTTTTTCCTTTTTGGCCTTGGCCTCGCGACGAGCCACCATAGCAGCGTTATCCATTTGTTCTTGAGTAGGAGGAGGGCCTGAAACAAAGAAATAACGTCAGTACCGGGCGGTGCGAATCACAAAGGCACTCACCTCAGGGAATGGACTGCCCGGGCCCACAAGATGAACACGAGAGAATGCGTCCAGGGATCATGGGCGGTACATATCCCTGCATCAGAGAGTGCATCGATGGTCAAGAGGTCCTTCAGTTTTCTAACGCCGCCCATCGTTAGCTTGTCCACGACATCTTGCAACTCCTGGGTTAGTTCCGGCGTCTTAACCTTCGGAGGATATCCGTTCCATCTCACAGGAAGCCGCTCGTCGGTATAGCGAATGAAGAAAAAACGATTTTCCAATCATGAATGGAGGTGGGAGCCCCCTCGAACAGCCTCCTCTTGGGACGAGCGGCCACGCTCAGAAACCCATCGGCATTTTGAGGGATGACTTGGAAGAAATGATGGAAGAGCTTCAGTTTGGGGGTGAGCCCTAACGATTTACAACGAACGAGGAATGCAGAGATTAGACGGTAGGAGTTTGGCATGAATTGGGCCGGAACAACACTATAAAACTAGAAAAAATCAAGATAAAAAGGGTAAAGCGGGAAGCGCAGTCCGGCCTTTATGGAATCCATATGCACCATCACCATGCCCGGGCGCCTCTTGAAGAGGTTGTCTGCACCCCGAAGACTGTAGTAGAAGGGCGGAGGGAGAATGATCTGCAGTTCCTTCAAGGCCCTCCTGGAAAAAACCTGTTCATGCACGGCCACATTGGGGATAAGCACGAGGTGCCGATGACGATCCATGGGCATCCCACGCTGATAGACCTGGAGGTCGTTCCCCTCCTCGGCCTCTTCGCCAGAATCATGATCGGCCGAATGCTCCGCCCCCGCGTCAGGTTGCGCCGCCGTCGCAACAGCATTCTCAGGAGCGACGTCCATGCCAACATACTCCTCTGCATCTAGGACCGCGACATCATATGTTGCCTCAGGGACCGCCATCGAAGAAGCACTGGAATGGCCAGAACCACTCGCCCCCACTGAGGAACGGGATCTGGGCTCTGTAGCGGCAGAGGAACCGGCTGAAGAAACGGTAGAGGAGCTAGAACCAGTCTCTGAGTCGGAGGAAATTTCCATGGAACAGACCATGGGGAAGGTTACGAAAAAGAAAGGAAAAGGGGTTGGGATCGAAGAGTTACCTTGCGAAACCTTGGAAGAGGGATGAACGCGGAAACTAGAGATACTCGCGGGACAGCACTGGGGAAGTAGAAGGAAGCAAAGGATGGAAAGCCCTAACTTTTTATGTAAACCCAGTATTTATAAGGAGAGGGGCTGATTCAGTGGCCAACCCGCGGGTGACACGTGGCAAGAAGCGTACCCAGAGACGCGTGGCACGTAGAGACGGACATGCACAAAATGATTACTTTTGCATCGGAAGTTGAATTGGCCTGGACAGCTGTCACCTAGAGCCCCGCGAACAACTGCGGGGAAACAACCATCACTTCGGGAGAGGGTAGGTAGCGGCTAAAGGCAGTACGGCGGAACTGTTTACTTCCTTATGTCTCGCGCACGCTCGAAACATCAGAAGTGGGGGACTTGTGGTTGGTTAATGGCCCAACAGGGGCCAACCCATCAACACCAGGGGACGTACGTAACCCAGCATAGCCAAGCTCTAGGGCCCAAGGGCCAGGGGGCGTACGTAGCTCAGCACGACCAAGCTTCAGGGCCCAAGGACCAGGGGACATACGTAGCCCAGCATAGCTAAGCTCCAGAGCCCAAAGGGCCAGGGGACGTACGTAGCTCATCACGACCAAGCTTCAGGGCCCAAGGACCATGGGACGAGCGTCTAGTGGTTTGCCACTCAAGGACCAAGGCTGCCACCAGAGGGATGAGTCCAGCCTAGGGGACGAACGTCCCCAAAACATGGTGGGGAGCCAAGATCTTGGCGGGAAGCGCATTAAATTCGGGAGATTTGGTGGTTGGGATCATGTCGCCCACAGCCAGCCACGTCAGCTCCCCCAACCACCACAGGATACTATAAATAGTCGCAATTATTTCATTGTAAAGGGTTCACACTTTGATTCTCTAGCATTGTAATAGCATCAACGGTACATAGCCTAGCTTAGTACGTTCGGCCCTTCGACTTGTAATCACCAGAGTGAATAAAATACAATTATTGGCCCACTACCCGTTGTTTAGTAATCTTACTTGTCCTTCACCCATCCGAAACCCCCAGGTTACGTGTTGGGCCTGCGGGTTGAGGGGAATAAACCTCAAGACATTCTATGAGGTGTATTTGGGATGAATAATTATTTGTTTTGTCAATATAAAAACCTTAAGTTACATAAAAATAAAAGTGACTAGTAATAAGCGGTCAAAATATATCACTATCACGCAACAAATGGCAAAATCATAAAAGACATACTAAATCAATAGATTTATAAACCAAATTAAACAACAAATATTATTACTTAACATTTAATAAGAAATACGTAATACATATAACACAAAATATTAATTTTCTAACACAAGAAAACCAAAGAGTATCAATGATATTAGAGGATTACTCTTTAACGATAAACAAGTAAAATTTCGATAACGTAATTGGTTCGATTTAATTGGTTCGATTCAGTTCTGAAGGGCCAAAACCAAAACAGAACCAAACAACTATGGTTCAATTCGGTTTTTTACATTTGGTTTTGGTTTTTGGCGGTTCGATTTAGTTTGGTTGCTATTTAATTTTTTTTTGATTCGGTTTTCGGTTTTTGTTTTTCGGACCCAACCCTAATATCAATAACTTCAAGCCAGACTGACTTGTCGGTTGTCACCCTCGAAACTGCAACATACACCCTCCTTTATTGTTTGTACAAAAAAGAACACATTATTAAAGGGGTTGTCACCAACTTTTGATTACTATTTTATTCTTTTATACACAGGCTTTCACCTTTTGTTTTCTATGGACTGTATTATTTCTTCATTTTTGGTGGTTATATTTTTAAGGGGCTGTTTAACCGATAATACTACTCCGAGTATGTTTAAACGAACCACCAACATAGAAAATACTCAGCCAGGTGATACCTTTCAGGCTGGACGCACGCGAGTAGGTTGTTGAGTTTTTGTTCGGTTTTTGTCACCCCTTTAGGTACCAAAGTGTAGGTGAAGTGAGGATTGAAACCCTACTTGATCGCTACCTTAGCGGCTTAGAGCATCTCCAATGTGAGCCTGTTGACATTAGAAAAAACTGCTGCATCAGTCATGTCGACATATCTCGCAACATTTTCGTCTCCAGCGCAATATGTCTAAGGCTATATAAAGTTGACATGTACAAAAATAACGTCAACATTGTTAAGGTGTCTTTCTTCTGATAACAACCTCCCTGACATGATGACTCAACGAAAATGGGTGAAGAAATTCCGCAAAAAGATCTCCAAAACGTCTTGAACCACGATTTAATTTCACAGTTTTCAATGTAGCAGGTTTGTCGGGGAAAGGATTTAATTTCTTGCATATGCAGTATATTTTTGCTCGCATTTACAAATTTCCTAACTTTGGATTAATTCATTCTTCTCAAAACTAAATTTCCCAATCAAATTTTTCTATCTGCGTTGCTTTTTAATCCTTTCTTTTTAATAATAATAGCCTGTAATATGGATATTTCGGTGATACATGCGCTTACCGGCAACAGAATTTCGTATGGTTTGGGTTGTCAACCTGAAGCATGACATGGATAGACATTCCACTTATTAAGTGTCATGTGTCAATGTTTATTCCATGTGAAGGATGTAGCATTAAAGATGCTCTTAGCCACCTAGCATAGGATTAGTTTAATTTATCCCTCGTTGTAGAACACAACTCACAATATTAATGACATTGAGTATAATAAATATAAAACTCCATCTCGTTCCGTTGATCGTTTGTCCCATTTTTTCGTTTTGAACGGTGCCAATTGTCTCATCAAGACAGTTTCATATCAAATTTGGTAATGTTTGTGTGGTTCTAGATTTTTTCTATTTTACTCTTACGTTATCACATAAATCCACTTTTTTAATAAGCACAACATCTCCCCATGCATCAAATTTAGGAGTAGAGGTAGCATGTGATATATATATATATATGATGTATTTATACAGAAATTAAAGTTGCTACGCACAGGCAATCTAGTTTTGATGGATTCCAAGAACACCATAAAGTGGCAAAGCTTCAATTTCCCAACAAACACAATACTGTGGGGTCAGAGACTAAGTCCAATGACTCGGTTGACTGCTTTCCCAATTTCCAACTCATCTCCTTCATTTTATTATTCACTCGAGATTCACGATGACAAACTTGCACTATATCTCAACTCAGGTAACTGGAAGTACTCTTACTGGGAGTACAGACCATCTGATAACCGAAACATCACATACGCCTGTCTCACATCACAAGGCCTAGAGATATACAATGGGCTCAACTGGAGAATCACTCAAATAACTTCAAAAACACCACAAGAACCTCCCAAATTCTTAGCACTAGCAGATGCTACAGGTATGAATCAGTATTTAAGCTATTTTGCATAAAAATATATAGTTTAGGCTCGTAATTTGTGCTTTCATTATGAGTCCTACAACTACACTCACACATGGATGTGAGTAACTATTAAATTTATCCACATTCTGCATTAATATTTTCTGAATACGGTGTTGCCGTGTGACTGAGAAGTCACGAGTTTAAGTCTTAGGAGCAACTTCTTGTCGAAATGACAAGAGGAAGGCTTACCGCTTATACAACCTTATGGTGGGGCCCTTCCCTGTACCATCACCTTGTGGGGACCCAAATGTGAAGAAGCTGCATTTCTACCAAAATAATGTATTCTACATTCTTATCGTCTGAAATTTTCTCGGTGTCATTTTTGTTTGAAGTATTACATTTGAGTGGAAAATTAAAGCATTTAATGTGGACAAACATATTAATTACATGGCATAATCTAAAAGTAAGTAATATGACAAAACTAATACCGAACACCTTAAACTAATTTACAAAACTAAGCAAGTCAATTAACTATTTTGTACATTATCTAGCTCATTAAACTAAGGCATAATTGTAATTGATTATATTTCCTAGTAATTGTTTAATCGTTGTAAATTTGTAATAGTGGTTCTTGTAATTAATTATGTTCGGGTTTAGTTATGCATTCTCATGCAGATATTGCACTTCAACAAGGAATTTAATACTTACACATGTAATTGTACCAAATTATTCTCCTAAACGTTTCATAACTCTCACAACAGGCAATTTGGGACTATATTATTACTCACCCCAGAAACAAGTGTTTGAAGTTTCGTATGAGGCAATCAATAACACTTGTTATCTTCCATTTGCATGTAATAAGTCCTATGGTATTTGCACTTCCTCCGGTGAATGTTCATGCATAAGGCTTGTCAAAAGAGGGCTCTCTGGTCTATATTGCTGCAATGAGGAGATGTTAGCCGGTGGGTCATGCGATAAAAGCCGGTTGGGGATGATCGAGTTACATGGTATCACGACTGTACTAAGTAGCAGTTCTAAAAAGGTCAACCTTACAAAAGCAGCATGTGCAGACTTGTGTTTGAATAACTGTACATGTGTCGCGGCAATGTATGGCGATAATGTGAACCGAGAGGGTGAATGTTATTTTTATGGGCTAGTAAGAGGAGTTAAGCAAATGGGTGATGTTAGAGAAAGAAAAATGAGCTATATGGTTAAGGTACCCAAGGATGTTATTGATGATTGCCATGGAAAAGGTTGTCCTATAAAGACATGGGTTTTAGTTGTGGTAGGGGTAGTTGATGGACTTGTTATTTTGATTCTTTCTGTAGGAATTGGTTACTGTGTAGTTCAAAGGAGGAAAAACAACATACATAATGCAGAAAATAATCAAAATATAAACTAGACTAGGTACCCCCAACCATTGAGAAACATTGTTTTATTGTTTTCTTCTTTCATTTCTTTTTCCTTGTAATTTCGGAAGGGATGCCTTCTTGAGAGGTTTTTGGTTTTGTCCCCCTCTTTCATTGTATTTTTTGTTTTCGCATCAATGAATGTGGCAAATGTTCCTCAACATTTGTCCCACTAATTTTTGTGGTTTGCCTTCAATAAATATAGAGAAATACGATGTCAATCCTATCTGTATTCATATACTTGTATGTTTATTAGCAAGATAAGTGAGGTTGCTCATAAAGATTTCATATTTACCCCTTAGCACCCTCCAATATTATTTATTTGAGCAAAAGTACCAATTCATTTTTTTTGGAAATGCTAGTGTTTAGCTTGTGCGTTGCCCAAGGTGGTATTTGGACTTTATTATGTGACTTTATTGTATAACTATAAATGGTTCTTAATTTTTTGAATATAGGTAATTATGGGTAAAGATTTAATTTGCGAAAGTCCTTCTAATATACGAAGTATAAATTATACACATAATTCTATTTGATTTAAACAACGCACATCATATTCTACATTAGAATGACAATTTAAAACTACAAAACATTTCTTAGTGTTATGATTGAGCATGCACATAAATTTCTCTAGATGTCTAACTATTATAAGAATAATAATAAAAACTTATGTTTTATGCAATAGATAATTTGATCTTCTAGAGTAATATATGCATGACTCGTCATAATACATGAGATCATACAATCAATTAAAAACATCCAATTGCTCCACTATACAACAAATGCTTTTTAGCTCGCCAAACAAAGTCAAGATGACAAAGTTTTAATGGACTAAAATAGCATTAAATTTGAAAAAATACATAATTATGACTAAAATAAAGGTTATTTACAAAAAGTGTCTATAGTAGTAATTTTAGTCATACTAACTTATGTTTAGTTTTTACACTTAAGTAACCAGGACACTATATACTAATAGTAATTTTAGTCATATTTTTGTAAATAAATTTTATTTCAATAATACTTTTTAAAAAAGCTCATTAAATTTTCCCTTTTATGTGGCCGCTTGGTTTGATGGTTTGCCATTATGCCTTCATCCAACCGACCAATACACTGATAGACAATGTATGAGTGTTATTTTTCCGTCATCTAGTTGTATCGCGATTAACAATCGAGATTGGAAAACTAGACAAACCGGATGGGTCATTGTATATCGAACCCGATTCGGTTATATACTGGTCCACGGATCAACATTCGGTCCAAGGATTTTAATATTATAACTTAGTGATTTGGTTTCCGGTACGATTTGTTCCAAAACATGGTATATTCTAATTCGAACCGACTATCTCAAAATTTAATATTATAGCGTATAGCGGAATTCAATGGGGTCTCTCCCTTAATATTACTAAATTAAAGATAATTTCCAAAATGTCACTGTCCATTTTTTGTCACTTTCAAATTTCACTTCCGCATGTCACTACGTCGTCATCACCCGTGTCACCGCCGCCGCCATCGCCGCCGGTCACCATCGCCGGCTACAGTGACACCGACAAAGTGACACCGCAACCCGCCCAGTGACACACCGCCAGCACCGCCATACCACTTTCTCAGTGACACGCCGCCAGCACCGCCATACCACCTATACTGTCAAACCGTCCACTGCCCCAACCCCTCCCCATGCTCCTCCCACCGTCACAGTGACCCGGCCACCACCGGTCTTTGCCGCATGTAACCACCAGTACACCACCACCCACCCGCACTCAGCACCAAGATCCAGCTCCAAACCCCTCTCCCGCCCCCATCACAACTTCCCCAAGATCATTCCCAGACCTTTTCCCCTGAATCGTATAAATTTACTCACTTGCAGATTTGATACGGCAACACATAAATTTATCTGAATTACAGATTTTTTCACCAGAAAGTACACTTTGTGACGAAAAATTTGATGGCGGCTTTTCTAGTACTCTATATGATTTTTTGCCAGAATGTGTGCTTTATGATGAAACAGTCCTTAAATAGACATATTTATTAGTTATACATATAGAATTACATCTATATGAGAGTATATTTATAGGACTAATAGTGGACACAATCAAAGATACGAGCATGAAATAGTAAATCTCTATTATTTTTAAAAGTGCAAAAATATTCATGAGATTGTAGAAATATTGGGGAAATATACATCTCACGTTAGAGATTTTTTTCTCACGTGAAAAAAGATTATTAGCTTTAGCAGCTTTCTTAAAAGTATCCACTAATATATTTTAGATATAATAAAAATATTTTTAAAGTTTGAATGAACTAACATTATTTAGAATTCCATTTTAGCTAAACTTTTGAAATATTATTTATACCTAAAACTGATGTTGGTGAATGATCTTTAGGACAAAGGTCGATATCTCTCAAGTAAGTATTTAATTTTCAATAAACATCACTCACCAATATCTGTTTCAGGTATAAAAAAATCCCAAAAGTTTAGCTAAACTTTAATTATAAATAATGTTCATTTACATTTTTAAAATTGTTAATACAGGATTAGATATGCGGACAAATTTTTAAATGTTTTAGATAGACTACATAAGCTAATTCTTTCACCACAAAGTGTACTTTCTTGTGGAAAGATTCTTAATGCGGATAAATTTATTTGTTACCAGATCACATATGCAAGTGAGTAAATTTACATGATTAAATCTATAATTTTTCTAAACACGATTATGAGTTATTTAAATTATCATTAAAGGATAACGAGGGGGTAAAAGTATATTTTTAATAGTACAGAGGTCTAGGTGATAATACGTGAAACCTCAAGGGAGGTGGTCATAATTTCCTAGAAATATATTTTTCAAAAAAATAGAAGTCTAAATCACATTCTCACACTTAAACTATATCTCTATATCCAGTCTCGCCCTAGGCTTTAAAGGCCCTAAGCTTTAAAACCTCATGTATTTTAGAACACTAATTTGTATAAAGAATGATGACTCTTAACACACACGCAATTTAAATTTGTATTTACTCAATATACTACACAAACTTCTTAAAAAAGGTTCATAGATTTAAATTACGTAGTATTAGACTTTATAAGAATATTATGAATTCCGGTAAATGTATAAATCTATGGATTTGTTATAAATGGGATTTTTCAATTTTATGAAAAACGCAATTTTAAACAATGAATATGTCAATTAACATTCATACATATGAACATCATAAGAGGTCAATTACATGATTACATGAAACAATAAAAAACAAATAAAAAAAATTAAAGGAAGCAAATGTAATTCATTTCATCCAAGTTTATTTTATAAAAAAATTCAAAATTAGGAGGATGGCCTATAACATCATTATGATCCATTATTATATTATGCTAGTAAATTATAACTAAGATGGATAAGTGTTACAATCATTATAAATGTGGTACAAGCTAAGTATAGATGGAGATTTTTGTGTTACTAAAAAATAATGTTTTCTTTAGAATTCAAATTGTAAAATAGTTTAACAAGATTTTAGTTTCTATCAATCTGTACATCTATCTATGGAAGATTATAGTTATTTTCATTTACCTTCGTATTAGACATGTAACAAAGTCCATATGCTTGCACATGCATGCACATGTTGGACATCCTTACGTAGAATTGTAGAAAGTACATGGGTACCACATAGAACATGCAAGCACATGCAAGGTTCTTTCCTCTCACCTAGGACTACTACTCCTTGTAAAGCATATATACATGCACATATCTTCCGTAATATACCAAGAGAGATTCAAATAATATTTCTCCAGAATACTCTCACTTTTCAATTAATATACATCTTCATATTTATCAATTATTGTTATTTTTATCATGGTATTAGAGCCAAATTCCTGAAAATAATATATTTCCAAACACTCCTTTTCTCCAAATTTTCTATCCTCTTATCAAACAATGGCGGTCGATGATGAGACCAAAGGTGATAGTCAAAAGTCCGGAGATAAGCCCGGAGATGTGTTCGTCACCTCAATTCTTCGTGACGGTAACTACGGTGATTGGCTCGATGAGATGAGCAACGCCCTTTATGCAAAACATAAGTTTGGCTTCGTGAATGGTGATATTCCGATGCCAAAATCTGATTCACCATATCTCCCGCATTGGCAACGAGCAAATGCAATGGTGAAAGCTTGGTTAAACAGTAGCATGGACGTTGAACTTAGGCAAAGTGTGAAGTTCAAAACAGCCCGTGAGATATGTGTAGACTTGAAAGAGCGATATGAGAAAGAGAGTGCACCTCGAGCTTATGAACTCCGATGTATTCTTGGTTCTATCCGGCAAGAAGATCAGTCAATATCGGCCTACTTTAGCCGGCTACGTAGTGTTTGGGATGAGATGGTCTCCATCAACTCTCAACCAAAATGCTCTTGTGAAGGTTGCACTTGCAACATCTCTAAGCAAATGACGGACTCTCGCGATAGAGATCGGCTTTACGATTTTTTGATGAGGCTAGATGATGCTTACGGGCAACTAAAAAGTCAAATACTCGCCACTAGACCGGTTCCCACCCTCACTACTGCATACCACCTCTTCTCAGAAAATGAACATCACCGGTCCATTGCATCCTCCCGTAAGCCGGGCACTGACGGCGTGGCTTTCTTCACACGACCGAAGAAGGAAATTATCCCAAACCGATGTACAAACCCAAAAGAGGCCAGAACATGCTCCTATTGTGGAAAGATAAATCATACGTATGAAACATGTTTCATGCGGCTGGGATATCCATCCAATTGGAATCTCAAGTCTAAAGAAAATAAAATATAAAGAGGGAATCATGAACCCACTATCCCTTTTCAACGGCCGAACGTGACTCAAGAGAAATTCAGGCAATTCTCAACACGTGTTGCACACGTGGATAGCCAGCAAAAATATGAGTTTTGACTATCTGATGACCAGTTGCAGCGATTGGCCAACTTCATGAAGCAAGAAATAAACGACCCATCACACGCCCAATTTTCTTATGGTACCTAGATTAATATGCCAGGTACATTATCAAGGCGTTCTTGGATAATAGACTCTGGAGCAAGTGAACATATCATTTGTAATAATGATGGTCTCGTTGATATTCACACACATGTCCAAGCTATTGGGAGTTTGGATCTGTTCAAAGGATTTCGTCTCCGACGAGTTTTATACATTCCGAAATTTCAGTGCAATTTGCTCTCAGTTAATCGCCTAATAAGTGATTTTAACTGCACACTCACATTTTTTAATGATTTGTGTATCTTACGGGACTTACTCTTGAGGAAGCTGATTGGAGTGGGCCGATGCCGTGACGGTCGATATTATTTGGAATCACCGAGCGTTGAGGGGTTGGCAATGTCGGTTTCCGCTAATCTTAATTTATGGCATCAACGTTTGGGGCATGCTTCAGACAAGCAATTGCATCATATTGGTTTTCTTCAAGGTTTAGGACGGAGCAATAATTTCTGTGATTCTTGCATACGAGCTAAGCAGACTCGTCTACCCTTTCCTATTAGTTCAATTAAAACATATCGTTGTTTTGAATTAATACATTGTGATATTTGGGGAGGATATCGGTGTGATTCAATTTCTGGTGCACGTTATTTTTAACCATAGTGGACGATTTCTCTAGAGCTGTGTGGGTCTATTTAATAAAAAATAAATCCGATGTTCCCCAAATTTTGATTCAATTTTTCAACATTGTGTGTACCCAATTTGAGCAAAAGATTAAACGCATACGGGCTGACAATGGTGCAGAATTTCAAACTAATACTTTGTTTGAATATTATAATCAAAATGGGATTTTGTTAGAAACATCTTGTACGGACACACCGCAACAAAATGAGGTTGTTGAGCGTAAACACAGACACATATTAGAGGTAGCTCGAGCTCTTCGATTCGAGTCTGGCTTACCTGTTGACTTTTGGGGGGAGTGCATTCTCACAGCAGTCCACATCATTAATAGACTACCATCATCCTCAATTTTGAATAAAAGCCCTTTTGAAATATTATTTGGTGATGCACACTAATTAGTAGTGCATAATTATATGTTTTTATGTTTCATTTATGTTGATTGTTTGACGTTGTATTTAGTTTGTAAACATTTATGTGATTTCAGTTGTAATTGTATTTTAATCCTCATTTGTAAGTTGTAAAGTAGAATTAGGAATTATGGTGTTGAAAAGGATGACTTTGAAGTGAAGAAAACAAGAAATTTGACTGCCCAGGAGTGAAACCCGACCGGGTAGAAACCCCCACCCGGTCGGGTATGATTTAACAGACGAAATTGCCAAGAAAGTCACTGGACCCGGTCGGGTCCCCTACTTGACCCGATCGGGTCAGATGTGACTCGGGACAAAACGACGTGCGAAGATCACCAGAACGTGGCGAATTATCTGATTTTGACCGGACTCGGTCGGGTAAGTACTTGACCCGGTCGGGTACCCGACCAAAGGTGTTGAAAAACACCTATAAATAGCACACTTTTTCTTCTCTAAAAATCATCCCTTCTTCCATACTCTTAAGCTCAGTTTAGAATAACATTTCTTTATATTTTTCTAGCTATGTTTAGTCTCCAAATGAGGAGCTAAACTTCCATTCTTGGTGTTGCTCTTGAAGCTTGTTGATTATTAAAGTTGTGAGTTATTTTCTTAACTTCTTTCCATGAATATTAATTAATAGTTCTTTCCTTAATACCATCTCTATATTAATGTTGGGGAGTGTTGCTAAGAAGACAATTAGTTAACATCTCGACATTAGTTAGAATGGTATTTTCTTCCTCTATATTAATATTGGGGAGTGTTGCTAAGACGACAATTAGTTAACATCTTGATATTAATTATAGTAGGATTCATCTTCATTAATAATATCCTTCCTTGAATATTAATTAATCCCTACTCTTATTTCATATTAATATTTTGAACATTACTTAAAGGATCAACTAGTTTTGTTTCATATATTAATTATTACTAGAAACGATCAACGAACCGATGGTTAATCGTTGATGGTTTCACAAGTAAGTAGCTTCGGTTTATTAATGCACGGTCGTGGTTAATAAACTTAAGAGGGATTAATTTTGTTGGTTAAACCGAAACCGCTTGTGTTGAGGTTATCAATCTCAATTGATTTCATCAAGGAGTTACAAAGATTAAATGCTACTATTAAATCGGTATAAGGCGTTGTTCTATATTTGATTAATAGTGAGGGTTATTAATGAACGGTCGTTGTTAATAACTACCCTCGATGAAGTGGATATACTCCCCGATTGAGTATTCGAGAGGGAATAAGTTATAGATATGACAATGATCGACTAAAATATATCAACAAGTGGAAAGTAGCAATGCCAAGTCCTTTTTATCTTTGAATTAAACACATATAGGTTGTTCATCTTAGTTATTTATTAAATTAAATCACTCAATCCAAATCCCCCCTTTTTATTTACTAAGTATCATAAAAAGAGAATTATTCCTTTCTCTGTGGATACGAACTCTACTATGCTATACTACGTATAAGTGTTAGTATTGAATTTACTTTGACGCACCGTGACAAAGTGCTCGTCAAATTTGGCGCCGTTGCCGGGGAAAGGCAATTACTTTTCTTTTTATTTTATCTCATAAAAATAAAAAACAAAAAAATATAAAAAAAAAATCTTGCTCTTTTATTTTCTGAGCTTACATGAGTTATGAGTATATGGATACCAACACTTCATCCTTAGAGAGTCAAATTTCCTTCTTGACTTCTCTAATAAAGGAATCTATCTTTAACTCAAAAGCTCAAGATGCCAAGACATGCGACATTTGCATGTCTCACAGGCATCTTACGGACTTCTGCCCAAAGCTCCAAGAAGAATACCGTGCACAAATTGATGATGTACCTCACATGAGGTATGATCCATTCTCCAACTCTAATATGTCCACGGAGGACATGGTTCGGGCTCTTACTAACAGTGTGACCGTCATGCAACAAAACATGGTGCAATTCCAAAATGAGACCAAGTCTAGCATTTTGAACTTGGAAACTCAAATGAGTCAAATAGCCGGAGTCGTGAGTAGGCTTGAAGCAAGGGATTCAGAAAAACCTCCTTCTCAACTAGAATGTGATCCTAAACAGCAAACTTTTGCAATCACATTGACAAATGAAGTGGAAATGCAAAAGGAGATCCAGAAGCCAGAAGAAGTAGAGGAAGAAAAAGACATGGAGCTCCAACTGGTCAAAGAAGAGGATAATCTGAGCTTCAAGGTTAAATATCTATCTTTGTCATCTTTTGAGGTACCCCCATCAATTCTAAAAATTTTGAAGGTTAAATCAAAATTTTCAAGGATAATCTGAGCTTCAAGCTTCAAGGATAATCTGAGCTTCAAGGTTAAATCACTCAATCCAAATCCCCCCCCCCTTTTTTTATTTACTAAGTATCATAAAAAGAGAATTATTCATTTCCCTGTGGATACGAACTCTACTACGCTATACTACGTATAAGTGTTTAGTATTGAAAATTATTTTGACGCACCGTGACAAAGTGCATCGTCAAATTTGGCGCCGTTGCCGGGGAAAGGTAATTATTTTTCTTTTTATTTTATCTCATAAAAATATATATATATATATATATATATATATATATAAAATAAAAAAAATCTATTTTCTGAGCTTACATGAGTAAATGGATACCAACACATCATCCCTAGAGAGTCAAATTTCCGACTTGACTTCTCTAATAAAGGAGTTTATCTCATGTTCAAAATCTCAAGATGTCCATACATGCAACATTTGCATGTCACAAAGGCATCTTAAGGATTTTTGCCCAGAGCTTCGAGAAGAATTCTTTGAACAAAGGAATGGTGTTGATTTCCAAGAGAGATATGTTTCATTCTCCAACACATATAGCCCATACTCAAGTTCTTATTCCAGCATGTCCACTGAAGACATGATCCGAGCTCTCACTATAAATGTGATAAATATGCAACAAAATATGTCACAATGTTCGCAAGAAGCAATGTCCAACGAACAGAACTTGGACAATCAGTTGAAACAAATGCCAAGCATTGTGAACCACATGGGCGAGGAGGAGGAAGAAGAGGAGCTTACGGAGAAAGCTCAACCGGAGGAGGAACCTCAAAACTCAACTCAACCACCGGCCATTCCTAAGATCATGCCACCATTTCCTGAGTCTCTAAGGGAAACACAAAGGGTGGAGAAGGACAAAGATATCTATGAAATCTTCAGCAATTGTGAGTATAATTTAGACTTCTCTTTGTTCACAAATAAGCAAGGAATAACGGTGAGATCACACAAATATTTCATACTCCATCTTATACCACCCGGATCAAAACCCCTTCCATTGACCATGCTTAATGAAAATCATGGACCAACACTCTCACAATATGAAGCGATAGAAATCTGGATATTTGATCCCGGAAAGGTCAAAATAAAGGGTCGAAAAACTGAGTCTTTCTATAAGAGTCACCCGGGTGAAAATTTGAAGAAGATGAGTTATCACGATCCAAGCTTGAACGATTGAACACAACCATGGCGTCGTGCCGCGACGTTAACTAAGGCGCTTCTTGGGAGGCAACCCAAGCAAGGTACGTTTACTTTTTTTTTTTTACACATTTCACAAAAAAAAAGACCTGGGATTGAACCCGGCCGGGTATAAAACCCCACCCGGTCGGGTTACCTCTAAAAACAAAACACCCGGCCAACCACCCGAGCGAGGCAAGAGTGGAACAAGAATAAATCAAACACCCGACCGGGTAGACCCCCATACCCGGTCGGACAACCCAGCAAACACTTTCTGCCTCGGGTGAACAGTTTACACCCGACCGGGTAGACCCCCATACCCGGCCGGGCAATCCAACAAAAAGCCTCTGGCTCCGGTGAACATCTTACGCCCGGGTAAAATACCTCACCCGACCGGGCGAATGGGTAAAATACCTCACCAGGTCAGGCTCACCTCTTCCCCATTTTCTTTTCTTCCCATTCGAACCACACCCCAAATTTCCTCCATTTCCAAAAGTCAAAAGCTTCATATCTCCTACATCCATCCACCAATTAAACCCATTTCATTCATCACATCTTCACCCTTTTCAATTTCACACCCA